CGCACATGGATGGGGACACGGAGCCAATCCCGTGCTCGGGGATGGGGATGCGACGTTGTCCCTGCGCACAGGGGTTGGGGACACGTGCGAGGCCGGGGCCACCCGCACGCCGGGCGCTCCGGCCGCGGGGGGAGGCAGGAAATCTCCGCGTGTCACTTGCGGCCGGAGCCGGGAAGCCACCGCCGGAGCCGGGGGGACAGGGATGGGGATGAGGACAGCGCTTCCCGCATGGCCACCCCTGGGGACATGCAGTGCCAGGCACTGGGGGTGACAAGGGGGTCCCAGAGTGGATGGGGGCTCCATGTGACCAGGAATGGGACTGGGGACACAGGGGACATGGGGACAGGACAGGAAGCCCTGGGACACCCTGGCCCGGCTCCATCCCGCCCCACCCGGAGCTGGCGCTGGCTCCGAGCGCAGCCGGAGCCCCGTGGGACATCGTGTCCTGCCCCACGGCTCCATAGGGTCCCCACCACACACACACTGCTGCCATGAGTGTGTCGGGGCTCAGCAGATGGGAAGGATGCCATGGGAATGGGAATGGGATGGGACATCCATGGGGACGGCAATGAGATAACCATGGGGAAGGGAACAAGATGGGATGGAAGATCCATGGGAATGGGAAAGCCATGGGGATGGCAATAGGATAACCATGGGGACAAGGATTGGATGGAAGATCCAGGGGGATGGGGTAGGATGGCAGATCCATGGGAATGTCAGATCCATGGAAACAGCAAGGGGCAAACCCTGGGGACGAGGACAGCAGAGCCACGGTGACAAGGACATGAAGCACCTCCACATCCCGCCCCCCCGCTCCCTTCCCAACCTCATCCCGCCCCGGGGGCCCGCGGGCGCCGTGGCAAAAATAGGCGAGTGCCGGATCCGGGCAGGAAGGATCCAGGGCTAAAAATAGGCGGCCCGGCCACCTCGGGCCCGGTCAGGGCCACCGTCCCCCCGGTGCCGCGGGAAGGGGCCGGGCAGAGCCGGCGGCGGCGGCGGAAACGCCAGCGCTCCGAGCGCCGATGCTTATCTGCGGGAAGGGCAGGAAAAGCCGGAGCGGAGCCGCGTTTCCGCCAAAACAAGTGGCGGTGGCGCGGGAATACGAGGATGGATGGGGATGGGAATGGGGGTCTGGGGAGGGATGGGGCTGGGAATGGGAATCTGGGAAGGGATGGCGCCAGGCATGGACACGCTGGAGCAGGATGGGGCTGTGAATGGCAATATGGGGCAGATGGGCCTGGGAATAGGAATACAGGGATCGATGGGGCTGGCAATGGGAATACAGTGACAGATATGGTCAAAAATGGGGATACAGGGATGGATGGGGCCAGCCAAGGACATGCTAGAATGGGACGGGCCTGGGAATGGGAATACAGGGATGGATAGGACTGGGGATGTATTCCCACTCCCAGCCCTGTCCATCCCTATATTCCCATGGGACAGATGTGCCGGAGCAGGATGGGATCAGCGATGGGAATACGGGGACACCCGCGGTTTCGCAGGGCCACACGGCGACGGGGCTGGGAGGGGACACCGGGGCAGAGGGGGGACAC